GGGGTGGCTGTGGCTTACGAGGTAGGGCAGTCGTCTTCTAACCAGCAAGTTGGTGGTTCGACTCCCGGTCTCCCCGCATGCCTAAGTGTCCCTGAGCAAGACACTGAACCCCAAATTGCTCCCGGTGGTTCGACTGGCGCCAGTGTGCGGCAGCCTCTCGTCATCGGTGTGTGAATGTGTGTGTGAATGGGTGAATGGTGTATAATCTCCTGTAAAGCGCTTTGGCCAGTGTAACACACTGTGAGAAAGCGCTATATAAAATACAGTCCATTTACCATTTACCATTTACATTCTTACCTTTTCGGTGTAAACTACGAGTCCTCCTTTAGATTAAAACCGCATGGGGAGGCCGAAGGTTTGCTACGACAAACAGGAAGTCCCGCCTCCACTAAAATGCGTCAACAGTATTGGTGGATTTGGACGAACAACAACAAATGCAGCCAGTGATTGGTCAAACAGTATGCCGCAGTCAGCCGCGCTTTAAAAAAGCGGGATACAGCAGCGCTACACGTAAGGTATTGTGAAGGACTCGGAAAGAAAAGAAATGATCAATTAAAAACTTTGGTATACCCCAGTTCTTTTACTGGACAGATCTGAGTAAAAAAACAGGCCATCTTTCTTGATTTTAGTGCTGGTTTATTTACAAAAATATATAAATATATGTATAAAAAGGATTCCAGAACACAACCCAGGGCTCCCTCCTTCAGACAAGCTGCTGGAGAAGAGAGCAGGAAAAAAGCCCCCGGAAACACAGAGCCTAATACATTTATCAGTTTTGGGCTAACCCCTTACACAGATGAAGTCCGTCCCGCAGACTCCATCTCTTATCTAGAGCTCCACATTCTTGGAGCAGCTGCGCATTACCTAGTCATAACAAAATGAGGTAGCTCAATGTGTGTGTATGTTGTATGCGTGATGTGTAACTAAACATTCATTCAGACATAATTCTTACACAAGCTTAATACAAGAAAACAATTGGTGTCATGGCTTGCTGCTAACCTTGAAACAGAGCAGACTAGAGCAGACGTTGAATCTTACTAAACTGCATTACTAACACACATTAAAGTCTAACACATTAAAGTCTAATAATTATCTGACTAATTTATTAATTTCTAACAGCTTTCTTGCCACAAGTTAGATGAGGTAAATTCGAAGCTATGGCCAGTAGCAGGTTACCGTGGCACAAACACTGGAAAGTGTGACAAAAGAAGGTCTGAATTGGAGCCATATCCACAAATTTAACAAACTGATTAATCGTCTGTTCTGGGATTTTTCATATCTTTTTCATATCTTCTACACCTTCAAGTCTTTGAAAAAGTCTACATCTGTTGAAATGCCTCCAAGAGGGAAAGTAATGAACCACCATACCAAAAACTAAACAGACATTTTCCTCCCATTATATTGCTTCCCATGTTGTCACTAGTCCCACTGTGTCCTGATTCAGCACCAGGCTTTAAAGGAATAGTTCAGGATGTTTTCAAGTTGCTGTTAATACAATATTGATGTATTCCTGTGTACATGAGAACACGTAGGTCTTAGTTGTTGTCACTTGTCCTCCTCTCCATAATGATCGTGAATGTTTCCACCCCAGAAAACCGCTATGCTGCAAAAAATGTTTTCCCTTTGTGTTTCCCTGCTTAGTAGTTCCTTGCTTGAGGGATACGTTGTAATAGACTGGTTTGAAATGACTCAGCCTTCACTGGGTGGCATTCGGGGCTAATTTACACACAATATTTTGACAACACAGAGTAGACAAAGCTGGAATAACAAAAGGAGGGTTGTAGGCAGCAGAGTGCCTAGAATGGGGGTGGTATAGATGAGAGACATCACGTACTGTCCCGTTTTATCTTCATTAATAATCAGACAGTAATGTAAAATCTTATTTAACGTGCCTTAAATATTACTGAGCTTTTATTACTTATGTGCTTGCTGTTCTTTGTGGTTCACATTCAAATCCAGATTTCATTTTTTTCACAGAGCTTCTGACTGATAATGTCGGTTTGGCGATCAACTGTGCCAAACGCGTTGTTAGAGATCCCAATGGCATTAGGGCATGGTAAGACCTGATTATATGGCTCACATAGGGAGAATATGATGTTCACAACACATTCTTCCCCATGTGAAGAGATGAGTGACGTGCTCCTGTCTGGTTTCAGGGTTGCCTGGCGCGATCATTGCGCAGGCCATGACTTGAGCTCCTATGTGGCAGGATGTGGCGTGTGATCAACAGATGGAGCCAGGACACTGTCATCAACTAATAAAATTTGCTCTGGATCAAAAGATTTCTTCTGTCATTTGGTTTATACTTGATTTGATTTCACAGATTTAATCAGTAAAGAAATATTTGGTGATTTCAACCTGTAGCTGTAATTACAGAATGCTCATTTTAAAATTAGACTGAAATGTTGGTTGGAATATTATCATGCTGATGTGTCTACAAGCGCTCATGTTTCTGATAGTTTGTTTTTAACATGTTATTTGATTATATAAAAGGAGTGTATTCTGGATAATTCGATAGCTTTGATTAGCAGCCTGATATGTCACTTCACTTCACTTCTCATCACTGCTGTGCAGAATCTGTTTGCAAAATGCCAAGATGGCAGACGCTGCATCCACAATGTTTTGGCTTCAATTTTGCAGTGTAGAGAAAAGTGCTAAAGCATAGTTCATTTTTATATACAGTCTATTAAACAATTGACAATTTAAATTTAGTGTTCATTTTTGTAACTAGACCCAGTTACAAGTAAAATGATTTAAAAAAAGAGAGAGATATTGTAATAGCAATTTGATATTTGTTGTTAACATTCTTTATCAGAATCAGAATCAGTTTTATTGGCCAGGTGTGATGGACACACGAGGAATTTGAGTTACAAGTAAAATGATTTAAAAAAAAAGAGAGATAATAGCAATATAAGATCATGGACTTGAGCCTTATTCATATTACCTGCTGAAGTGACCCAAATTTATTTTTCACCTCAAAGTGATTCAGAGAAGATCTTTTCAGACACAAGAACAAACCAAATCAGATTTTTTTCAAATCTAATATGGGCCACTTGCATTCATGGTCCTAGGTCCAGTTCACATCTGATCTATGACTGGGCAACCACTGGCAGAACAGTCAGATCAAAATTCATGTGGGGTTTTTTTTTTTTTTGGACATCTCACTTTTCTGCACATGCACATATTAATTGTCATCCTCATTTAGTTCACCATTACAGACTGATAAAAATAAACATGGAGTAGAGCAACAACGGTGATTAATGTCAGGCCAGGTTTGTTGGATATCAGAACCGCACTAATGTGATACAAGGCAATGCTGTACTTATCCTTAGCCACAATATCTGTGGTGTTTACACAAACCAGAAAATGTATTGTAATGAACTGAGCTATCTGACGGTAGTGGAGTCATCACAGCTTACACTATAATGGAAATTATGTTAAATAAGTCTGGGTTTTAAAGTTCTTGTGCCTGAATGGGAACAGATGCAGCCAGTGTCCAAAACCTGGAGGCTGTTACCGCATCAGATTAAAGCCTATTGTTTCAGAGTGACATGTTGTTGTAATGTTTGAGAATAGATACTGTATATAGGTTTTATCATGATCAGCTAAAGCACCAGCAATAGCCTCATGTCTGCAGTTTACCCTGAGCTGGTGTTTTCTAACAGAGCTGTTACTACAGAATGGAAGCAGGGGTGAGAGAGAGAGAGAGAGAGAGCATCTGGCACTGAAGCAAGAATTTAAATGTGTAGTTGAAATGATCAGCAACTGGCATCATAGAGTCATTAGTAGATGCAAATGAGGGGGCAGAGCTAGCAGGCTGGATTGTCTCACTGTCTTTAATATGCATGCATACACACAAAGTATACAAACACATACAGTCACACCAGGGCTTCATTTATAACAGCTGCATAAACATAAATCGAGACTTGACAGATCTGGACACCACTACGCATGGGAAAGCTGGGATTCAATAATGCAAACTTGATTTTTAGTTTTAGGCTTTGTCTTTAGATGAAGATGCCTTAGTAAAGTGTAGTCAGTGAGTTTGCACAGGGAGAACATGGAAACTCTGCAGAGAAAGGCATCAGGTCAGCCAGGGCTTGAACCTGGAGCCCTCTTGCTGTACACAGCAAAATGTTTATATACGCACGTGTACTAATCTGCAGGCAGCGTATCCTAAAACCCTGCTATGCTGCTGACATGACACTGTATCTCTTTGTTTTATTCATGATAACTCAATTCAAAACTGTGCAATAAAAGTGTCTGTCTCAATTTTTTTCAACTTAACTGTAACAAAACAGAAGCAACTCAACTCAGTAAAAATTTTCATTTTTGATCCTAACCTAATTACAAGCTCCATGTTTTTATTACGCCAGCATTCACTGACTACCTGCCTCTGCAAATCTTCTGCAGCTGAATGCCAACAGGTTTCACAGTGAGGTGAGATCAATATCAATCTCTTGACAGTGTGTTAAGTACAGAGCTGAGGTTAGGACATGGTTCACTTAGTTTAGCATAAAGACTCAATACAGGTGTATTTTTGACTGCAGACATTCAGGTTAGCTAGTTCCCTCTCCTTTTAGTCTTTATGCTAAGCATGTACTGACTCTGTTCTTAACAGACATGCCTGTACCTGAGAAAGATCTCTTCTTCACTGTCATGCAGAGCGCAGATTAGTGTATTCCCAAACTACTGCTTTAAAGGTTGAGATGTCAGCACACACAGTCCATAAACCTGTATCAGCAGATTTTAAGAAAAGCGCCAACACCTGACTATGAATATAATCATTTATTTACTTCAGTCCAAGAAATATACAGGTATGCTCTCTCAAGGTATAAAATCTGTCTTAAATAAGCAATTGTTCTATTTCATATTCATGCAAAATTATCATTATTTAACTAAAACCCCTGAAGACTTCTTTAAAACTGATGACAACCTGACACCACAAACAACCAAAATCATCAAAAGCACGTGGAGATTTAGTAGTTGGCAAAAGCTGTCCAGCAGTTTGCAACCTGACTTTGGGTTTAATATTGCTTCAATATTGTTTAAATTATTTGTATCGGCTTTATATTTTAAAAAAGAAAACTAAAATCTGAATTTGAAAGCTGAGACAAGAGAAGCACATTTTGTAAAGTTTGCACAGATTATAATTCACAGAAGGGATTAAAGGCTTCGGTTGTTGTGTGGAGCTGGTAGATACTCTGCTATATTTATTGCTGCTGTTGCTCCTTTTGTTCCTATGTTGCAGATTGCTGCTGCAGTTGTTTGTTGATGCTGGTGTTTTTGTCATTGCTGGTGCCATTATTGTTGTAGCTGTTGCTTCCATTCTTCCTTTGAAAAATCACTTTATTTTCCAGAAGCTGTCAGGCATCCAGTGTGATGTCATCTTGAAGAAGGTTTCCTTAACGGACAAGTTGAAGTAATCAAAGTACTGTATAGGTGCAGGCGGTATATCAATCTGTGGGTCTTCTGTTGCACGGATTAAGATGAAGTTGATGATAAACCTGAGGCTGCTGAGCACAGGACCTCTGGAGAGAGATAGAGAGAGACAAAGAGTTATCGTTGCTGATAACAGTTCACTTTACAGATTAGTAGTTCACCGACACAGTGAACACAGGAGACAATTTTAACTGTCTGATGTTCGCTCCATTTTTTTTTCCTCGGTTGACCGAACAACGTTTCTTCAAAGAGGTTTCTGGTGTGGTCTGACCTCAAGAGTTCACTCAGTTGCCACTAAGATTGATCAGTTGATGTGGGAGTTACTGTGATTTCACCAGAGCTCTTTTAAAACATCTTGTCTGTGCTGGCTTAAAAGCAAACCCCATCAGGCAGTGAAGCATGTGTGATATAAATGAAAGCTCCAGAAAGTCAGTAAGTGGCCCTTGAGTTGAGATTCTTTTGGAATCTACTGTTCCCAAGGCCAGTAATGAGCTTTAATGCTTAGGTTTCTGTTGTATTTTTGATTATAAAGTTCACACTAATGGAAATGAGACTCTCCAAAGGCATCTGGGAAATGAAATTTGGTGATATAACAATAACTGAACTGATTCAGTTTGATACTAAAGACAAATCATACTAGAACAATATTAATTTCTATGTCTTAACCTGCCGAATTTAAACTACTATAAATCCCCATGCATTAAGTGCTAACATTTAGTTAAAGACATTATTTGGAATTTGCAGACAATTGTGGACAAAATTTTATAAAAATAGGAACTTCTTTTAGGGTTAAAACTTGATTTATAGTTTAGAATTTGGTTTAAGTCACAGTTAGGGGCTAAGGAATAAATTATGTCACAAAGGGCCCTCACAAGTATAGAAGTGCCAATGCATGAGTGTTAATAAGCACTCAGGTCCACACTTAGATGTTCTACCAACAGACAAAATGAATATAATTATGAGGCTCCCTCCCTCGGCCTCTTCCCTCCTTCGTCTATTAAATCCAAATTGATTTGTTAAGCTTGTCTTAATAAAACCCACTTAATAAAAACACTACAGCACAAACTGTCTCTCTGCTGTGTTTCTTCCATCTCCTATAGAACAATAAACATCAGTCTCTGAACAAAAAAAAAGTCCAATTAACATGGAGAGCCTCCATGCTAATCATTAGCTTCTCCATTAACCCTTTGACACTTGCTCCCTCGTGTTGCCTTAATTAGGGGGGCGAGGCTACAATTAAGACTGCTTGTCTGCACATGCCTTGTGCCTAGACAGAAAACATTTTAATTATATGTGACACACCAAAGTGAAGCATTTGCACAGCAGGAGAACAGGAGTGATATCAAATGTTACCATGTTCTCCTCCTGCTGGCCCTCTCGGTATTCCTCTCAGCTGCACTGCAGACACTGACTCCCATATTCAGAACAAATGCTGCAGTGATGAAAACTTCAGAAAACACAGGGGTGGTTTTCTTCACAACACTGGGAAATCCTGGTTTTCTAGCAGTCCGCTGAAGCTACATTTCCACTGTGGAACCTAACGAGCGGTATATCCCATGCGTCCCTTAACCATTACAGGCTGATGCGGTCCGTTCCGTTTTGCTTTGCTACTGTATTCTTCCCTTTGGACACTCATCACAGGTGATAGTTCTGTGAGCACCCACTGCCTCCCCCCTGTGAGAACCTGGAACTTGACTTTAATACTCTCTTTTGAGAGATGCTTAAATTTGGCTCCTGGAAGGCAGAACCCAGCATGTTTCAACACATTTCCTACAGTGGAAAAACCCTGAGATGATGATGACGAAGAACCTGTTTTTCCAATTCAGTCTGTTACTGTGCCATTTTGAATCCCTCCTTTCCATTCTGAATTCCTCATTGTGCCATCTTTAACACCTCTGGTACCATATGAGACCTTTGTTGTGCCATTTTGAATCCTTCCTGTTATCTATTTAAATGTTTGAAATGTAATTTGAAAACTTAGTTTGGAAACCCTCATTTTTCCATTGTGAATCTCTTTTTTTGATTCCAAATCTTTCATTGTGTCATTTTAGTCCTTCCTACTTGTTAGCATTTGGAATGGTTTGATATTTTGAAGGTCTTGAATCCAATGTACCAGCCCAAAGTTAACAAGTACAAAAGTATAAGAATACTTAAAGACAAACATTTCAATATCTTCAACAGTGTCTCAAAAATGTCCAATGAAAGGTTGGAGCATGTTACCTGGTCACCTAATCCCATGACCAGAAGCCCAGTCTATGTCACACCCACCTACAGTCACTTTGTCATGTTTTCTGCACAACTTGTTGAGCTGTAATAAATGGTTTGAAGAGGATTTTTGCTTACTGGGAGCAATATGTAGTCCTCACCCGGTACCATGTGATCCATTTACAGAGACTATACACCTGTTGCCAGTCACTGAGCAGGGAAGAACAAAGCCCCAACACATTCAGCATTTGTTTGCAGCTGCCACTAATAGGTGTTTCTGGCCATCATTTTGCTGAAATTAGAAACTTAACTGGCATTCAAAATCACACAAAGAGACATTTAAAGAGGAAGACACTGAAAGTATTCTGTTCCCTGCTGACAGCTTTATATCCCTCAAAACAGAAGATATCTCACGTAATTTAAAACACCTGCTTTTCAAGGAGACAGTACTGCAGCTCTGCGGTGTGACATTAAGTCACATAATGAATCCCAAGCGGATTACTTTTCTTTTCAAATTACTCACACTTGCACTAATGGATGAGGTCATTACACTGTGTGCACAATTATTAGGCAAGTGAGTATTTTGACCATATCATCATTTTATCCTTAATTTCCAACTCCAAGCAGTATAAACTTGAACGCTTATTGGACTTAATGCATATCAGGTGATGTGTTTTAGTGTAACGAGGGAGGGTGTGGCCTAAGGAGATCAACACCCTATATCAAGGTGTGCATAATTATTAGGCAGAATGTTCTCCTCTGGAAAAATGGGCCAAAAAAGAGATTTAA